GGCGGCGTCGGCCGGTGTCCCCACGCGCGCGGCCGGTGCCGACCAATGTCGTTTGTCGCCGCGTACCGGATGGGCGGAGCGTCCGGCCGGTCCACCTATCCCGCCACCGCGGACGTGTCACCGACGGACGACGCCCAGAACCGATCGTCACGCAGCGTGTACCCGTCGTCCGCGTTTGTCCCTCCGGGCCGCCGAACCCGTTGCCGGCACCGAAACACGTAAAAGGGATACGGTTTCTTCGTATCTTCGCGTTCGCTCAGAATGTCGATCACGTCCGTTTCTCCTCCGCTCCTCCACCCTTGTACGCGCGGCACAGTTCGGTGAAAACGTCTAAAATTACGTTTTTTTTTAGAAAAACTATCGTTTTGGCCCGCCGGTGCCCTAACCGGCAATTGTTATCGCTCACTACGATAGATCTTTTTCGATACGATTTTTCACAGGCATGTTCAAACGCGCCCGTGCACTGCAAAACAGACTTGTTGATCGTTTTTCAGTGTTCCGGAACATTTTTCAATCATATCGCGTTGAAAACGATCTTGTTCGTATCAATGAAATAATATTAAACGATTTTATACAATTATAAAATAATTGAATTAGAAAATTATCTCGGTGTCGAAAACAAATAACGAAATAAAAAACAAACAATAGAGGTGCTCATTAATGGTAAACATTTATTATAATAATAATAATAATAATTATTATTATTATCGTTATAAGTTTCGCTCGTTTTTACATTGTTACATCCTACATCGGTCGTGTGTTTAATACGCGCGCGCGCGTATAAATAACTTCGGTACATGTGATATTGTAATATGATGTGTTGTTTCGCGCCGCGTTTTCTGTACATTCATCACGCGCGATGGCTGAGTTATCTGCAGGCAACAAACCTGTCTTCATTATTGAAAAAAGTATATTAATCGACTTTGAATTTAATCCTAAATGTAGGTTGATGCGGTCGACTGATTAATAGATAACAATAATACATTACGTGTAGAGTAGTATACATCTGTAAACCGATTACCTAACCGCGCGCGCGCGCACTGCAGACCATACGCGTTACAGCACAAACAACATAAAACGACGTGTTATATATTCACGCTGTATAAATACCTACAGAAACGTAATAATTGGGAAAAATAAAATTTCAAATCTTAACCTTCGTTCTGTTATCGCATAATTATCATAATTAATATACGATATTGTACAAAGACAACAATGCGTGTACGCATCGTCGGTAATCGCAGATGCCAGTATTTATCGTGTAAAACACTTGTACTGTACATTATCGTTATACATGTGCCTGCCTACACGCGTCACCCGTCTTTCGAGTAGTTGACCACTGCTTATCGACGGTTCAATATTCCTTTAAATACATACGCGTAGGTATTTAAATAAAATATACTATAAACACGTTATATTATCTATGCGTTAAAACCTACGAGTTTTTTTTTTCCAACTGAAACAATTTAATTATTATAAAAATTTCAATACGAGTGACGAAAACGTTCATTCACAACCAATTTCATATATATTTTTAACGTACGCTCTATGCGTTAAAGTACACCGAAACTACAGCCGTAAAATATATACAAAGGCATTGTATTAATTCATAAATCAAATATACTTTAAAGATTTTTAAGTTGAAAAAATGATAATGAAACTGATATAGATATATATTATTGTTTTTAATTTTTCACTATAAATGTATAGTTTATTTTTACAAAAATAGTTTAGACGGGTTAGGTACACCTATTTTAAATATAACCCTATGCACGTATATAACTATTGTTTTGTTTTATTTAAAGTAAATAGATACAATACCGTCGTGTATACTGTAATAATATCGTTTATACACTAATAAAAATAAATGACGTACCTACATTGAAAACCACTCATCATCATGTTAGACGGGAGAATAATGAATAGTGTACAATGTATAGAAACAAATAGATAATTGATTGGTTTTAAAATTAATATCCGGCTCTGTATTATAATATAGCGTGCTACAATTATACATATTAGCGATACATAGATATTTTTCTTTACAGTAGGTATACGTATTTGAATGAATGGATCAATGAATGAATAACACACCATGAGGTTTTACTATAATTTATACCTATGATGCCCATTATAAATCTTTAAAATAATTGCAGTAGGATTTGTAGGAATAATTTAAATTAGGTATTAAATGCTTTAAAAAATGATAAGTGATTTCAACAAATAATACATACTTGTATTAATTGTATTATTTTTATGCAACAATCGCTGTGAAACCCAAAAGCGCAAATTCATTTTGCGCTTTTATACCTTAGTACCTAGTGGGATAAAATCGCAAAAATAAATGTTGCACCCGTTACACTATAAGTTTCATTTTAAAATTATTAATAATTACTATACATCGTAATGAAACATTTGGTCATGTAGATGAAGAATCAAAAATTGTAATTTTCATAACCAAGAGTAATTTTATATACAGTTCATGTTCTACATAAATAAATGTACATTCAAGTGGTATATTGTATGCTGCCATCCAAAACAACTGATATTTATGCCAAAATGTGGCATTTAATAAAAACATTATGTACTAATACATAATTAATATATATATAATAATTATTATATAAGTATATCTCAAGATATACTTATGGATTTTGAATTATCTGCTCATAATGATTATAAATGCTTATAATTTTGTGTATTTTTTCCATATGCACAAATTAAATGTGGCCGGTTTCACCTAGCACAAGCTTGGTACAGACAAATTGGAAAATTGGGACTTAAAATTGAATATGACAAAAATGAATCAGAAATTTCAAATTGGTTAAAGTATTTTTTTGGATTAGCTTTTTTACCTTTCACTGAAATATCTGATGCGTTTTATGAACTATATTCTATTGCTCCTGACAATGATAAGGTATCAACGTTTTCTGATAATATTTTAGCAAATTTAATTGAAAATGACATCAGATATCCACCGCACCTCAGGGCTGAGCCACCTTCAAATAAGCCAAGGACTAAAAATGATCCAGAATTATACCACCGCCATTTGAAAGATCAATTTTATAACCCATATCTATATATTTATAATTTTATCGAAGTGTTTAAACAACCGAAGTTATAGAGGTTATAAATGCAATCAAATGAGCGAAAAACTACAAAACGCAGCTCTAAAGTCAACTCCAATATAAATGCATGGTTATATATTGTATACTGAAAAAAAGATTTGCAGATTAGACTATTTGAAAATGTTGGCTTCAAATTTCAAATTTAATATTAATATTTATTTAAGATACTCATTATAATATTATACCTACTACTTATATATAATTTAAATTTCAAATTTATTAATTAATTTTATAATCACTAAAGGCATAATAATTATATGATTTTAATAAAATACACTTCCTTTTTGTAAAATTGATTTGCGCTTATGGGTTGTTAAAAAGGTGATTTTTTTTTTTGCACTTATAATTTATTTATTTTTTCGCTTTTGGGTTGCATTTGGATCATATTTTGCGCTTATTGTCTATAGCTAACAATCGATTTGCAAGGAAATAGTTGCAAACAAATAACTAAAACAACAAATACTGACTATGGTACAGAAATCCGTATTCTATATTAATTATTTGTACAACAATGTCAACGAGTAAATGACAATGAAATTTTAGAATGTTTGTACCAATACCGTATCTGAGAGGAGAAGGTTCAAACCCACATTTAGTATATTAAATTACCTATACAGTATCATAATAAAATCGGAACAACATAGATTTTTAGGTTTCAATCTTTATACTCACAGAAATGATTAAATAACAAATGTGGTTGATCAGTATTTTCCATTCATAAACTATATACGAGTGAATAAAGTTCATCCATCTCAAAGTATAATTTATTTTTACAGATTGTATGTACGATAAAATAGCTTCTATACTTATAATACAAACAAATTATAAACGACAACGACGATGTTAAAAGTACATTTTTAATTTTTATAAGCTTCAATACCGAGATCAAGAAAAATTACCGATATTATCCAATACCTGTGTAACATTGTCTTAACACAGACAGGTATTAAAAAAAAACTACATAAAGGTCGGTTCTAAGTGGATCCGGAATTAGATAAAAAAAAAAAAACAAAAAACCACAAATATTAAAGATTCGCCTGGTTTAAATATTACCAAATATTTTACTTGTAAATGTCGAGGCCGAATCAAAGAAAAAAATTCGAGTCGTACAAGAATTAGGTCTAAATACGCCTTGTGTCCCTTTTTGTTCCGCCGGACCAGGTAAATATGACGGAAACCTAGTGGCGTTACGAGCGCAAAAACGTGTAAAATTGAACGTATGTTAAAAAAAAAAAATAATAATAATAATAAAAAACGAACGGGTACAGACGCAACGCGTACACAGCACGCGCGCGTACGACAACGGAGGTGCTCGCACCCGAAACGTATTATGCGTGCGCGCACCGTGTTCCGGACGCTGCAGCGCCTCCTCCTACGCGCGTGGCCGCGAACAATACGCGCGCCGGTACGCGTAGCGGAGAAAGACATTTCAATCACACACACGCTTGTGCGCGGTGACGTGTACGCGGGACGATGACGACGACGTAGACGCACGTCTAAAGCCCGACAACAATGCGCGCGCACAACCCTTTGGACGTGAATTCGTCCGGAGAGGCCGTTCGGTTAAGCGTATACACGATCTACGTGTTCCTGCGCTGCGTCTAATAAGTATATAATACGAAACGTTTCACACGAACACCCGCCGCTGCACGACCGTCGAAAGAACCGTACGTGGAGTTCGACGATAAACGTACTGCCGGTCTGCGGTGTAAAGCCGGCCAGAGACGTATTAAGGAGGGGGTAGGGGGTGATATGGGTGTTAAAACCC